AGTAACAGCTAATTACTTTTAGACAGTGCTGGTAAACGAGGTCTGAGACAACAGAGGTCTCAAGAACTCCTTGCATGTGGGCAAACATTTTGCAAATAGGTATCGGGCATTCCAGCTCTTAAAACTACCTAGGCAGAATTACACTGTTCCCATCCATTACCAACAAAGCAGTCCCCGAGGGGGCACGTCCTCGGGATCTGGATGGCCCCATGGAGCACTGGCACAACTCCAGGCTGGTACAGATCACACTTCGCTCCACGTGATCCAACTGCCATTTAAATTCAGCAATCAATGGGGAAAATAGGGATGATTTAACCATAGATCTAAATGGCCAATTAGTAAAACAAATATTCCAGAGTAAAGGCACCAACATCTCTTCCACAACAGCTTTTTCCGGACTAGTCACATACTCAATTTCTATAGAAAATAACCCACTTAAAGGCCAGCTATGATGCTAAATAAAACCCACCTTAATGCAGGTGAAGCTATTTATCTTGAAAGAACTGAATGAAACCACTTTGCTTCCAACCTACACCACAGCTACACACCATAGCAAGCATTTTTAGAACAGTCCTGCAAATAAATACATGGCAAATAAGCAGGGCATATATTAGTTGTATGGAGGTCAGGATCACGAGCCTGATTCCTCATTCCAGGAATAGCAGGACTATCTGGTGTCTATTCTGGTCAGCTCAGCTTGGATGCAGAACAAGAGAATGCTTTTCAATGGCGACATGGACAGTAGTTTATATCCTTCAAGGTGCTAGCTTAGATCCTGCAAACACGCAAAGGAATTTCCTGGAGAACTGAAGGGGAACAAAGGGCAGTATCTATCCGAGACACCTGTTCCACACAAGAAAAAATTAATTTTAAAATTATGATGAATAGTTTCAGCTTGGGCCTCCCCTCAAAAATAAGGATGGCAGAAGAGTGAAGCACTAGGGCCATACACTCCTTGAGCGCTCCACAATGAAAGTATGTTCAAATCACTCGATGCAAACTCCAAATCCTGCGCTTTAGGCATACAGGTATTAGCAACAGATACAACAGAAATGGTTACTAAGTGCATGCCTTGCAGAGCACATACACACTACAACTTGTTAATTTTGTAATAAAACATCCCATTGTTTTGTTAATCTGCATGTCAGACATCCAGCTGTTGCTCTGGCATCTTCCACTGACTTTTTTTAGTGCATTTCTCTCTAATCAAGGCACATTCATGACAGAGGATGTGAAGTTCGGACAAGGAAAGCACTTATCCTAAAGTTAGAGAAAAATTAACGTCAGGAAAGCTCCATCACATCGCACCACTTGCCTATTTATCCAAAAGAAAAGCTTCAGGAAACAGTAACTACCTCTGTGAAATCAGAGGGAGGGGGGAAACACTCTCCTTCACAACGTTGTCTGAAAGCAATCCCGTGTAGAAACACTCTACACAGTCGTGCCTGAGAGAAGAGAGGAATCTAGAAGAAGAGGTGTACAGGAACACAACATACGGAAACCATCAGAGAACCAAAAGGGAAGAGGAGCAAGAATACCATTAAGAAAAACAAATGGAAGCAGGGAGCCATCATCTACCCTCAAAAAGGAGCACAGAGCTCCCCGTAACGGGAAGTACCGAGGCCAAATTCTGCCCTTGCGTTCCTAGGAAATCCAAAGTAAACCTTCCTTCTGCATTTGAAGGAGTAATGGATATTGGAAGGGAACACGCATCTGTGGAGCAACTTCCTAGCAGAAGTTTTAATTCAAGCCTTCTCTTGTGTGCAGGAGCTGGTGGACTACACCAGAGCAAACCACCAGAAGAGCCGCAGAACGCAAGTGGAACTGGTGGCCAGCACCAGTTCCCTGTGCCATTACACCAATACAAAAACCTCCAGGAAAGAAAAAAAAAAAAGTATCATACACCCCAGCCTCACTCCCAAGCTAGCCAGTTAAATCGTCATCTCGCCCAACTGAACATTGTGTTGAACATCGCTTATCTTTGCCATGATCCTTGCAGAAGGAAAACCATAGAAAAACTCAACATACTTGCCTAAATAGAGCGTAATAAAAGTTTAACCATAAAATAGCAAGAATAAAGTTGTGGAAAGGGAGTTAGTGACATACAGTAACAAATCCAGTATTCAAGCAAGTACTACAGGTTTAATGTAATCTTTGCACGACAACTCCCAATTCTCTTGAGATGCATTTGACCTCATTTTTATTTAAAAGTGCAACTGAAATATTTATAAACAGCCCCTTGAAAAAGTATTCAGGTGCAATTTAACTGTTTAGCATCTACAGCGATTTTGACTTGGCAGGTCAACTCTAAAACTCACTGCGTTTGAAACTCCTTTTATGAGATCCTAGGGAAAGGGGGATAGTTGGATCTGAGAAAGTAAAAATCCTAACTGCTGCCAGCCACCCCTCCCACACACCAACAGATTATATCGAGTCTGAAAAAATATACACACAGTGAGAATTAGCCAACGTCCTAACTAGCTCTCAAATAAGAGAATATCTATCAGCCAAAGTAAATTCTACAGCAAAAAACTGGCTTCACAGTGGAGGGGGAGGGGGAAGTAGGTCATGCCAGATCTTAATAAAAAAAACTGGGCATACTGTAATTGCACGTGATAATTTGATGAAAATCAGTTGCCTCACGATGTCTGTGATGTCTGTCTTTCACTACTTTGTTGAGTTTTTTAAAAAGTGAGTTTGACAAATTTCCGATAAGTGTTATTGAAGTAAGCCTTAATGAAGCATGGCAGTTTTAAATGTGGAAAAGTGTCATCAACTTGTCAAATTGCAACTTAAAAGTCAAGCTCATCAGACACCTTATATTTCAAGTAATAAATTATCAATCATAACTCGTTAAGTGTCTTTACATCAGTCATCTATTTAAAAAATTCTGAAGAATTTCCCCGGCATCGACTCGTACGTCACATACTGTAACACTCAAAGCAATACCACAACAAAGAACTCTGACCTCCCAGGTCTTCTCAACATACAGCGCTCCCTCACAACGCTCAATCACTCCTGCTTTCGGTTATATTTATTCATAAATTATGTAAATATGCAAGAAGACATGATGGTCCATTGAATATTTTAAATACTTTCTCAAATTCCACAAACAAAAGCAATTTAAAAAGCAGAAAAAAATGAATAGAAAGCTGATGAATTAAATGAATTAAAATTAGAAGCCATTCATAAGGGTCCATTAAAAGCTAAACAGAAGTACAATGTTCTAGACCCGAGAATCACATCTGCAAGTAAGGCTACAGCTCTTAACCTGAAATCAGCAACTGCTATCCCTCTTAATGGCCCTTTAAAAGACAAAACATCCTACTACCTCAACAAACAGTTTGAAAATTATCATGTATATATATATATTAAAAAAAAAAAGGGGCCATGCAAGAGAAAGCTGCTGCTCTCAAAACGAACATCAGCATGGTGGCCAAATGAAAACGATCGAGTCTGATACAAGATACAACCCATATGGGCTCCTACATCTTATTAAGGCTTTCCTCCTACAAACACCCATGCACATGCCTGACGTGACGCTGCGAGAACTTGCGGTGGCTGCAAGGCTACACGCTGTAGTAGCACAGTTAAAGACCAGTCGACTGCAGGATCAACGTGTTTCACCTGAGCCAAAGGGGAAGCCAAGGAAACAGAAACCCACAAAAATCAAGCATGCTGTGAAGGTTTAGTTGCATGACAAAATGAGACTGAACAAAAGGAGTGAAAAATCAGCTCTAGGTGCATACAGAACACTACTGTCCCAAAAGCTTGACCTCATTCAATGCTGTAACTACACTATTTAAAATTGTTTTAAGTTCAACACCTCTGTATATTTTGTAAAAAGGGTAGAGATACTTGTAACCGACATGCATCATAAAACACAGTGAAGCACTACAGCACTCTGTTGCTGTAACTCGGAGAGTTTCAATGGCCCAAAAGCACGCTCCCATTAAAAATGTAGGCACTTCATATTGTCTAAAGCACTGTGCGAACAATAACCGACCGAACACGCTTTCACCTCCTTTGTCAATCAAGTCAAGACAGCCAAGTCATGCAAACAGCCTGCTGATAAGAGCATCTCAATACACTGCTTCACTCAAAGGAGGAAAATGATGCCTTTCACAACAGAAACCTTACAGACTACTTCCTTGGCAGGGCAAAGCAACGGGAACTCAAATTTGGAAGGTACAATATGAACAAAATCAGAAGTCAACGTGGTAGAACAAATCAGAAAAAGAAAGAAAAAGCAGAGCGCCACATGTCTGGTTTAGCGCCAACTGATATTTCCAGGACAAACTTTCTGAACCCATTAACAGGGAGAGTGCAAGTTGGGGGGGTGGTGGTGGTGTCTGAGATTAAATTAACTACTACTGTATGTCAGCTTCACCATCTCATAAAGACTTCCACAGTTACTCAGCGCAAGGCAATCAGAGAGACCTGACAGCTAAAGCTTTCAGAAATCCGCACCATTCCCACACTGAGCACAAAGCCGATTCCTTTCGGATGACAACAGACACCGAGAGATCAACATCTCGGGAAGGGGGTTGTTGTTCCCGTGGCATCTTTAGTTTCAGCCGTTTCCTTTCTCGCTCCCTAATCCTCAATCATTTCTACTCTTGTAGAAAACACAGGTAAATCTCCACCCAAACCACAGAAAACCGTCTGCCCCAAACCACAGTCAGAACGTTTCTGGCTGGCTGTGGATCTCCAAGAGGTCCCGTACATCAGTGACAAAAAAGCACAGAACAACAAAAAGATTCAGGTCGCTGCCACATCCATGAAACATGTCTTCCAACTCCAATTAAACGCTTGAAAGAGAATTTTTAAAATCCACAAGCTTTTGAACGGGGACAGAAGGGACTGCATCGGGGGGAAGGGGGGATGCGACCAGCCGATGATATCCAGGCAACAGCAGGGGGGGAAAAAAAAAAAAAAAAATCAACAAGTCGGCGCAGCCCAGCGCGGGGCGAAAGCCGCGTCGAAAGGTGCGGACGTACCTTGTGGAGGTGCCTTTCCTGACATCGCAGATGCTGCATTTGAAGGCTTCGGCGCTGTTCCTGAAGGTGCACACGCTACAATCCCAAAAGCCTTCGTCGGCTGCAGGTTTGGCTTGCCTTTTCGGCCTTGAGGAGGGGGAGGGAGAGGGGAAGCGTGTGTGAGTGTGTGTACGTGTGTGTTTGGGGAGGAGGAGAGGAGGCGGCGGGAGGAGGAGGAGGAGGGAGAGGAGGAGAGAAAGAAAACACACACATGAGAAACCATGTTACAGAGCCCCGAAACCCGGCGCCTGCTCTCACCGCCGCTCTCCCCCCGCGCCCGGGAACAGCCGACAAACACCTACCGGGGCCGGCGCCCGGAGAGGTGCGGG